CTAATGTGATTTATATACGTGTTCCTGCTCTTACCTCTGAAACATTTTAGATGTTTTATACTAATGTGATTTATATCTGTGTTCCTGCTCTTACCTCTGAAACATTTTAAATGTTTTATACTAATGTGATTTATATCTGTGTTCCTGCTCTTACCTCTGAAACATTGTTAATGTTTTATCTAATGTGATTTATATCTGTGTTCCTGCTCTTACCTCTGAAACATTGTTAATGTTTTATGCTAATGTGATTTATATCTGTGTTCCTGCTCTTACCTCTTGATGCTTTCCAGTCACTGAACATACCCATGACATGTCTGTCTTATCAGTATTTGCTATGTTTTTTTCATCTGTAATTCCCAATTCTTGACAATGTCTCTCTTTGGCCTAGGTTGGGAAGTAACAAGAATTCTTCATAGTACTTTTCACTTCCATTCACCTGTTATGATTAAGATTCCTTCTCATGTTTAGGTTGGAATGTTAGTTCTGTCAGTTTGTTTGACTGGTAAGGCATTTTGTCCCTTTACACAGAATTTAAACCCAAGGAGATGGAACACACCATTATTGTGTGGGACTGCCTGTAATTTTTAAATAGTTTTTACTTCACTGTGATATACCTATGAAGCTTGTAGTCTTCCTTCATGATTTTTGCTTTCAAGACTAATTTTCCTACAATCAGAATAGTGAGTTAGCATATTATTTATGTGTAGAAGTTCAGTTTTCCTTCCTGCTTGATGCTGCTCCAAAGATCCATTTTCTTACCATAAGTATGGTGATTCAGCTCACTCTGTATATATGGTTTAATGATATATTTAGAACCTACATCCATAGAATAGCAAAGTGAAAATCAGTAAGTACTTCAATATAAACAAACAAACACATACTAGAAGTGATCTTGTCACAAGTATCTTCTAAATTATTAAAATGATATCACAAAAAAGAATACCTAATATGGTGGAATGTGTTTATCATTTGATATTTTTTAGATATTTTAGTTGAAGAGTGAAACAATGAACTGTTAGTATTATACCGTGAGTTTGACCTTTATTTCATAATATGTGTAGAAGTACCTATTTCAAGTCATTCATATTAAACTTCCGACTAACATTTTTTGGTGTCGAGTTGTGGAAAACCGTATGTAAAATAACCCATTGTTTTGCTGATAAAAGTATATTTCTGCCAACAACATTTTTTTATCAGATCAGCAGAATTGAGTACATCCACAGTAAAAACTTCATCCATAGGGACATTAAACCTGACAACTTCTTGATGGGCTTAGGAAAGAAAGGAAACCTAGTGTATATTATAGACTTTGGCTTAGCCAAGAAGTACAGGGATTCTCGTACTCACCAGCACATACCATACAGGGAAAATAAGAACCTCACTGGAACTGCTCGATATGCCAGCATAAACACACATTTAGGAATAGGTAAGTAAGTTAAGACATTAATAAGGTCATCACCAGCACATACCATACAGGGAAAATAAGAACCTCATTGGAACTGCTCGATATGCCAGCATAAACACACATTTAGGAATAGGTAAGTAAGTTAAGACATTAATAAGATTATCACCAGCACATACCATACAGGGAAAATAAGAACCTCATTGGAACTGCTCGATATTCCAGTATAAACACACATTTAGGAATAGGTAAGTAAGTTAAGACATTAATAAGATCAACACCAGCACATACCATACAGGGAAAATTAGAACCTCACTGGAATTGCCCGATATGCCAACATAAACACACATTTAGGAATATATAAGTAAGTTAAGACATTAATAAGATTATCACCAGCACAAACCATACAGGGAAAATTAGAACCTCACTGGAATTGCCCAATATGCCAGCATAAACACACACTTAGGAATAGGTAAGTAAGTTAAGACATTAATAAGATCATCACCAGCACATACTGTACAGGGAAAATAAGAACCTCACTGGAATTGCCCAATATGCCAGCATAAACACACATTTAGGAATAGGTAAGTAAGTTAAGACATTAATAAGATCAACTTTATTATGCTTTACAGTTAAATCTGTTTGTTTTTCTACATATTCCAATAACATGTTGAAATGTTTTTTACTTTCAGATGTAATCAGAAGCTTGTCTATGATTCAAAGAATTATTGTTTATTGATTTGTTGGCTCTGAATAGGAAACTGTTTTCATTATTAGCATGAAAATACAGTTCAAGTTTGCTCCTTTTTAGATGTGTAAGAAAATGTATATCCATTGCCTTTTACCCCTTAGTAACAGTCAGTATAGAACAATCCATCAATTCAACTAATAATGCATTCATCTAACTTCATCCCATCATATGTAAAGAATATATCTTAACATTATTGTATCATTATTTATAAAGAGCTAACATGTGCATTGTTGTGATCTAGCTTTGTTCTATCATTATTTATAAAGAGCTAACATGTAAATTGTTGTGATGTAGTTTTGTTTTGTCATTATTACATCTTTCAGCATGGGTTCGGTCCTTGGCACGGACTTCGTAAGCATTTTGTGCTTGTTATAGTTTTCATGCTATAACTTTTAAATTAGTAAGTAAATGTTAACAAAATTTGGCACATTATCAGTAACATTACTGTGCTGTCGTACACAAAATATCAAATTTTTTTATTAAGTCTTAAGGTGTGTAAAGCAATGTTTCTATTGTACCTTTTTTCTTTTCACACGTTACCTATCTATTAATGCAAAGTAATTTTCATTTTAAGATTAAAAATACTTTTATGCATCAGAAAATTTTCAAATTTCACATGCGAAATCTTTATAATGTCCAGATAGTTATAAAACATTGCTTAAGATAAACTTTATATTTTATCTGTTATTTTCAGTAATTAATCTCTGTACGGGTTTGGTAGATTTGATCGATCTCACAACCACCATAAAAAATTAGGAAATAAACATAAATTATGCCTCTTTCATTCTAAATGAACATAAATTATAACACAAAAACATAAATGTTTAGACAAAATAGCTTAAATCTCATAACATTACATATTTATATATATTTATTATTTTAATTATGTTGACCATTCATCCATGCCTGGCTAACAATACAGAAGTTACAATGACACAGCACACGTGTACTCATGTTACCGTATCCAATAACGTAGACTGGTATTTTGTAAAATACAGTCACATTTCAATTATTATACATTATATATATGTACATAGATTATTGCTATTTTAGAATAAGTTCTTAAAATTATTTTTCTTAAAACATAGAACAGTAACTAAAGAAGTAAAGCAAACAATTATCTCTTGTAGTTATGACCTTTGTACTCGGTTGCTGCTTGACGAAGGTTGCTAAGCTTTTACAAAATTTGTACGTGGAGGATATGAAACAAAATATTTTTTAGGTTTTATATATATACAGTTGAATAACTAAAAAATAATAAATTACTACATCAACACCATAGAATTTCACTATAATTTATCAAGTTTAGTAACTAAGGTGTATTTTAGTCTAAAAAATATGAAATTTCGAGCAGACTAAAGACACTCTACCTCCTTGAAATATTGTTTCAAAAGAAAGAAATGGTGTCCAAGCCCATTAAAATGACTGAAAAAGCCACTAGGGGACATTCTGTGCTTCCAATTGGTTATTCATGTCATATATTGAAGTAAGTGTATATAAGGGATCATTTCCAAAAATGGAAAGAAATGGGGGGACTGTGTTTGATTTATTACATGGGTAATATCTTAGCAAATAGAAAAGATAAGAGACTCTTATTTTATATTCTAGCTTGTCAATATCGGTAATTTGAGTTTCTAATTCGTACGAAACTATAGACTTGGTATTTTGATTTCACAAACATCTAATTGGAACCATTCAACATACCATGTGACACACAAAAATCAGTGTTTATCTGTGTTTTTTAATATTTACTTTGAAAATTAGAAATTGAGTAATGTATAATACT